TTCCTTCAAGATCCTCCTGAGGCTGCTTATTGAATTTGAGATGGACTCTGCTGATGCTAGCGCGCAGCATTAATGGTGGCACTGGTGGCATTTGTAATGCACTTATAAATTTACAGCTCATTAGGCGAGTTCTGCATGTAGCTGATGGCGTGATAATAGCACCCAGTGCGGATAATAAAATATCACAGTTAATGAAGCATAAAATGATTTCTACTAAAAAGTAGTAGCTCTGAATCTTTTTTTTAAAGAATGCTTAGGATGCTCAACCAAAATCTTTTCTCGCAATCACAAAATAAAAGATGCTTTTTAATTAACACTGCATCAAGTGTTTATCACGTGGAATTCAGGGGAATCATGAGCGATAAAGGAGGTGTTTTTCTACCAGGTTTGGTATTTGCCAGCTGCTAATTTAACAAAGAACTCGGGGGTCAGCTGAGTTAAGAGTAATTTAAGGTCACAGGAGGGCCTTTTTCTTTCATATATTTTCATTTCACAGGTACGAAAGAGGCCGTCGTGCTGTTTTGCTGCTTCTTCCCTGGACCGAATCGTGAATGTCAGAGCTTCTATTATTTTTTCCTGTCCAGGTTCACTAAAGCTTGTTGCTTTACTGGAACATTTGAGATTTTCACATCGAATAATAGTGATTTTTCTCCCCCTCTCCACACCCAGACATGAAAGGAATAAGAGATCGTTATTTGCATTTTTATGCCTGAGTGTATTTTTCAAGTGGGAATAGAAATTCTGTGAGCGGTGTCAAGTCCCAGTGCTGCTGTGTCCTGGAGTGCATCAGACTGCCTTTTCATCTTCACCATAGCCTAAGTGCTCTGCTTTTCTTTAGCCGTACCTTTAGCTCTTCGAGAGCAATCGCTCTATTTCAGACTTAATTTCTTCTATTTTTTTTGTCATTCTCTCATTAAGTTATGCCTTTTTTTTTTTTTTAAAGCGGTGAAATCTGTGTGTGTTTTCTTTCATTACTTCAGAGTTGCAGTGCAAGAGTTTGTGAAGTGTAAGTTTCTAAACACACCTCTGTGGTGAGTGGCAAGTGCATATAATTTTTCATTTAGTGAAAATGGTGGCTAGTTTTGTCTTTTCATCTCCTGCTGATTTCTCTGCTGTTCAGTCCCATCACCTCACTGCTCTTTTTTTTGTCTTTGTGGCCATCTACTAGTGTCTATTAGCTAAAGAGCTAGACTTGTGTTGCACATCGGCAAGGAATTCTCAAATTATGGGTTGTTGGAAACAGTCAAAGCTTTTCTTTTTTTCTTAATCTGCAGCAAAATTGAACAATTAGAGCGAAACCTGTTGCCTTGGCTGCCTTTGGCTATGCTGGTAAATATGTGGCACATATCAGCAGTGAAACTGGTCTGGGTTTGTGTTAAAAAGACACAACGATGTATAGGTATGTTAAAGAGGGATAAGGGCTGAACAGGAACAATTTCATCTCCTCTGTATATCAGCAGTAAAGGTTTAATAGTGTGTTTATTTCCTTGTGTGCATGATTGTGTTAGTATGTGCTCAGAAGTAAATTGTGGCCATTACGCAGAGAAATTGTTGGTGATTTTGAAATAATAGCATTACGAGGTGATTAAATCACATTCTGTTATTACATACCAGCACCTCCTTAGCATGGTTAAAAGCTGCGCTGCTGAACACCTCATAAATCTGACACATTAGGACCACACAGCACGTGTACTTGCACATAACAGCACAATATGTTTTCACGTGAAAGCGCGGTAAATGATGTTGCTTTGACGGCTGTTCAGTTTGAAGTTGAAAAGTATGATGTTACTGTGCTTGTTTGGGTGGGGGGGAATCTGCAGAAATCAACGCCCGGTCCTTGGCGTAGAAACAAGTGGTTGTTTCTCCTGAGCTTTTTAACCGACAGCAATGATAAGTAGATTTGTTTGTACCACGGTGCGCACATACACTTCAGTATAAATTTTATGCAGTGATACAACTGAAGCTCTGCACAAATACACACACACACACACACACACACACACAGCTGGCCTCATCAAACAGAAACGTTTACGGTGCTGTCAACATTGTGTATATTTATGGATGCAATCTGTGAGGTCAGATTTATTACTGTCAGAAATGGGTGGGATTATTTCTTTTCAAATAATGAATTTTCAACCACACACACATACGTACACAACTTTTACTTATTGATTTGCACATTGATTCTGGGGATATTAAAGCTTCTCAGTTATTAATCATTGCTGATTATACTTTCAGTGAAGTGAGTTATAATTGCAGAGAGGAGATTGTGTTTTGCAGGTTATACATAGAGGCGAGCCACCAAAGCACTGCCGCTTAGAGCACATCTTTGTAAACAGATGGGAGAGTACGTACATTTTTAAACTGGCTGAACGTGTGTGGCTTCAGTGCTAGAGTGACTTACTGTTGTAATGTTATGACAAATGCATTGCTGTCTGGGGAACGCATTTATGTGTTTGTGAATTGCAGCACAGTTTGGGCACCTCTTAGATGACACTACAAAGTCAGGTACAGTAGATAATTAAACTGTTCCGAATGTGCATACGATGATTGATGACTCTGGTGGTGTCCTGCCCTTGCCCTTTGTGATATAAAGCAAAGATTGTGCGACACAATGTCATTTCATCGGTGCAATCATAGCTGGACACAGATGCTCATTAATAAGAGCACTGTCACAGATTGTCAGCTCACAAGGAAAGAGGAAAGAAGATGGTTGAGAACAAAAATGATCAGGGAAAGAAGTACAGAAAAGAGAACTGGTGGATGATTGTGGTTTAAAAACAACACTAAAACAGCATGAGACTTAAAAAGTGGAGGAGCAAATGAAAGCAAGTAGAAATAAGTCAGTGGTTTATTTGCAGTTCAAATATGTGGACCAAAAACAATACCAGGAAAGTTTAAAAAAGAAAGTTAAATGGTGGATGAAGACTAGATGTACAAAAAGTGCTGGTGAGGGTTGTCAATCAGAGGTCTGTGCTATGAAGAAGAATTTGGGTTGATCCAGGTAACTTCAGGGTTAACGTTGGATTTTTTTGTACTAAAAAAGGGAGTTCTACGGTGGCCCTGATAGGCCAAACGGACTGCAACTTAAGAAAACACCAGCAATAAGAAAAATGCTGCAAAAGCACAGGAAAAGAACGGAAATAGGAAAAACGAAAACAGAAATAGGAAAAAACACAAGGGAAGTGTTTCTGGGGAGACAATAACCCGATGGAACAGTTGCAGGAACCCAAAACATGGTAGGCGTGTTTTATCATGATTCATATAATACTGATGACGGGTTTTTAGGCTAATAGTTAGGCTAACACACTTATCTCTCACAAAACCAATAGATCCTCCACTTCTTTCAAGTGTCTCCCAGCGCAATTTTTAGCATATTTTGGTTCCTGCAATTGGTCCGCCGGGTTATTGTCTCCCCAGAAACACTTCCCCTTTTTTTTTATCCTATTTCTGTTTTGTTTTTTCCTTTTTCCGTTGTGTTTTGTGTGCTTGTGCTGCGTTTTTCCTTTTGCTGGTGTTTTCTTAAGTTGCAGTCCATTTGGCCTCTCAGGGCCACCGTAGAGTTCACTTCCTAATAGCGTGTATCACCATGGTAACTGCTCCAGATCAGTTTAGGATCCGCAGGAATTAAATCATCACCTGAATTAATTAATTCCCTGTTGTTGCCAAACAATTCTAGTATTGTTATCATAAAACAAGAAACCTATTTGTACTTGTTGACCTCATGTGATATTTACACATAGACTAAGCCTGTTTGAATGTTTGAATTCTGGTGAACATCACCGAGGTTGAAGCTGAAAGAATTAAAAGTAAATCTCTCTTTTAAACATTAATTTCACTCTTTGGTCTTTGAAGACCTACTGGGACCACTGATGAAGCTTTTTCTGAACTGTGTGGTTTCTATTTGCAGGCCTGCCCATAGAACAAAATAACTGGGTGTCCCAAAAGTTAGTGAGGGGGTGATCTCTACCTATGCAGCTACCCTTGGAAAAACCTCTTTATTGATATTTATATACTGAGGTCATTAAAGGTAGAGGGGAGGTTGTCACATGTTATCTTTATTGGTGAAAGAGTTAATAAAATACTTGGTTATAATCCATCAGATTCTTCCATGATTTAATGATAGAGTTATGGTATTGAAAAGATGAAAACTTACACAGTTGGCATTTTTACCAGATTTACTTGATAAAATGTTACTTTATTTTACTTGATTTACTTTATTAATAAAGTAAATCTTTTTCAGTCATACTGACCACAGTGCCTAAGTTCATACAAAGTTCATACACTGCTTTTAAAATGACCCCTTTCATATAAATGTGATAGTGTGACGGAACCCTGGGTTCACTTAGCGAGGTGATAACCAGCTTTGTGTGGCCGCTGAAGGGTATTTTGAACTTATTTTATTTTTATCTATTTTTATTTCATTTCATTACAATATAAAAGCAGCCTGGACGGACTCGCTTCTTAAAACCTCGGTTCATCACAGCGACATTGTAAACATTGTTTTTATATTGTAGTAAAAGTGAGTCAAGTGAGTGTGCAGTAATGCATCTGAGCATGGATTAACTGAGGATTAGCTGACGAGCGTTAGCTACCAAAAAGCATTGTAATGCAGAAGGCCATGAATTAAATGTAATCCTGGACACCACATCTGTTCTCTTGTAATCTTTTGTCTTTGAGTAAGGCTGCTCGACAGATTAGCTAATGGATGCAATGTAAATTTTGTCAACATAAAAGCAGACATGACATTTATGGCTTTGCAAATTCCTTTTTTCTGTTTTTGTGAGTGGATAAGCGAAGTTTTAGTACAGCGGGAAAAACAAATGGAAACCAGCTGGTACCTATAAAACAGGAAATAATTCAACCATAGAAAACTGCAGCAATTTTTGCAGCCTTTAAATTGCCAGCTGAAAGGAAACAATTAAAAAAAAACATCAGCTGAACCTTCACTGCTAGTCCTCGTGTCTCCTCATGTGTCTTGCTTGTCTTCTGTGCCGCAGGTGTGATGCCAGATCGTCAGTTTGGTGGAACCCAGTTTGTCTGCAGTGTGGTGGCTTCCCATGTCAGCCACCAGCCCTCTACGAGCTTCAGCTTTGTCTGGATCGCCCCACCACCTGGGACCGGCTGTGTCAATTTCCTGTAAGTCATATGTATTGAAACAGAAATGGCAGGTGATGTGATCTTTTGTTGTGCATCACCTAGACTGTATCCAACCATGCGTGTGTTGAATTCTTGAACTAAAGCCCTTTATATTTTATTGAACAACTATCAAAAACTCACACGTTTGCATGCATTTTCTTTAAGTTCGCTAGATTTTAAATACCAAAGATGTTCTGAGAAAACAAACATGCATTGATTACTGCACAAGGTTAGGCTTCCTCTACTATTAGAGGAAAGTAATTAATATCGAGCACCACTGTTTCACCAAGGAAAGTTGCGCTTGGCTGGGTTTTATGTGTTGATGAGATGTTAAAGTGGGATTTGGTTAGTGAGAATGGTGCCTCTGTGTATCTAAAGTAAAGTTAAAGTGTATAAAAGTCAGGAAAATGACCATAGAGCTTCTTTGATCCATGACTTCAGTTAACACTTTCCTGATAAGTTTATGATCTCCAAGTATTGAATACAGCTTTTCGTTTCTTTTGTAAATCACGGTCTCTATCGCAGAAGAGAAGATCATCATGTCTTATTTTAAAATACCAAACTTCAGATTCCTCTGTCGATTAAAGCATTAGCAGAGATAATGTGTACAGAGGTACAGTAAGAATAATAATACTTATGTGAGCTGTTTGAGTAGCGTGCACCGTTTCTTTACTCGTGTGCATGTAGATTATATTTTGGCACTATACTGACTTTATATATGTATCTAACCCAAATATAAGCTATAACTATCTGTTAGTGTTGTGTTGCCCCACATTGACCCAGAAAGCTCAGGAGAGGTTTACCAGATGACATCATGGGTGTTGCTCTCTCTGAACCACAGAAAGGATGTTAAAAGGCCATCCTGTCAGAGAAAGCCTGCACGGTGACTGGAAAGAGGTTAAACTGGGGACATAGTATGTGTTTATATCCTAATTGCCTTGCTCAACGTGACCTGTGCATTGGCAGGTGCGATGTGTGCCCTGCTGAGAATTCACGGAAATACCTCCGTCCTCTAATTCAGTGTGACCATTTCTCATCGGAAAACGTTCGACTGGCTCATCAGATCCACCCATCCTGGGAGGATGGGTGTGTTGCAGATAGTAAAGATACGCAAACATATCCTAAGATTTTTTGCCCCCAAAAAATAACATGATGTTCCTCTTCTATGATTTTACATAAGGGCATATTATTTATTAGAAGCTTTATTGAGATTTATAACCCATTGCAACAAATCTGGAGCATTACACAGCAGTTCAGGGCCACTGGATTGGTGATGTTGTAAATACTCAGTCTGTTTCCCTGGACACTGCAGGTTGTTTGATTGGTGTAGGTGGAAAGAGCTCTAGCCAAATATGTTTGAGAACAGCCTTGAATTTTCCTTTTTCTATTTTTCTTTCCGCCTCTAACTGTCTTGTCTTACCTTTGAGCATTTTCCTCAACTCTCTGCCTTCAAAAGTACCACAGACTTTCTTTCCCTCCTGTTCTCTTGGCTTGGTGATTTACAGCTCCTTGCAGATAGCCAGTTAAAATGCAATTAGCAGCTGTTGCTGGAGAAGTGTAGAGGAAAAGAGAGGATTCCTGTAAATCCAAAGTCACCACAGCACCACGTTAGAAAAATCTTTGTGAAATCGACCCACAAATTTTTACATTGCATATAATTTTTATTAGGGTAAATGCAAATGTTTGTGTAGGTTCTCAGTCATCCAGGTATTCTGAGGAGCTTGGAAAGTAAACGACATGACTTCTTTAAGGTTCTTGAAGACGTTTCACCTCTCATCTCAATGATTATATTTACATGAAGTATAGTTCAGTGCTTTTTCTTTTCTTTAACAAAATGAAAGAAAATTAAAACTCATTATTGTTCTATGATTTTTAATTCATAGATAGTCTGCACTTTGACTTGGCTAATGCCTGATATTTTGCTTTTTTATTACCAGTCATCCACTTTTAAACGGTTTTATTTCAGGGGGATTACAAAATTCCTATCAATGTTTCATGAAAAACACAACTAAATTAAACAGTTTAGCTGTACTCACAAAAAATCCCTCAATGAATTCCTGGAGGGACGCGGTCGTCTATCAGACGGAGACTTTTGTGGACGGACTTACATAAAAAGATTCAGCTGGGGAATTTGCTAAAGTGGAGCAGCCATTTAGACAATATCCACTGAGCCAAACAGATTTACTGGCTTTTTTTGTCTGCCAACAAACACATTTACTGTTGAGTGTGTGTCGGCTTACAAGGACCGTGTTTTTCAGTATATTTGTGTGTGTGTCCATGCGTGTGCTGTGTGTTTGCATTTGAGTGTAAACCACTGAGCAGCAGTGTGCCAGTGCGGATGACAGTGGGGTTGGCAGGGGGCCATGATTGTATGACAATAAGGGCCCCTGCGGCTGACCTTATCAAAGTCAGCCAGTCACACTCCAGCTGGCTTTAGACTGTTCCTCACATACAGACATTTAGACAAACACTCTTACCGCACCCCTGTTCCAGTTCGCAGCTCCCATCTCCATCTCGAGCAGTATATCCTCGTCTCCAGAGCTGCCTTCTCTGGTTTCATTCAGGGAATTTAAGATTCAAGGCCTTTCTGGCAAAGGCCAGGGACACTTTTGGTGCTATAATTGATCAAAAAATTGTCACCTTAATGGTCCATTCCCTGTGAAACTCTCATCTGTCATATAAAATTGCAATAAAAACCTCTCTAGACACTAAAAATCTCGAATCCATCTTCTTTACAAGTCAAATTCCAGTAGTCCCATAGGTCCATAAAACTGTAAATAGCCAATATGAATCCGTAATCTTTTCTGTGGTGTAACATCAGCAGCTCTGCAAACAGTCTATACCATATCAGAGATGAACATGACAGTCGTGACATAGCAGATTGGTTTTTGACTCAGCATTTTGAAGCCACAACATTAGCATATTGGTAGCTGTCATGTTTTATTTGTATATTTCTTTGAAAGACCCATTCCCTTCATACAGTAGCTATTGAGTTAGTTGTATTTTTAAAGATAAAGATAACCTTTATTAGTCCCACGAATGGGAAATTTGTTGGGTTAAGGCTGCCGACTTTTGCCAGAGCCAGTTGCCGGTTAGTGCTGTTTAGTTGGGCTGCATGTGAGTCTGTGGGGATTAGCTGGTTTTTGAAGCCAGCATCAGGTGGCCTTTTGGACAAAGGGCAGTTCTGGCACTTTAGAACTGGCTTCTTTTTTCAGTCCTGGTGGTTCAGTACAGTATTGTAGCCTCATCACTGACCAGCAGATGCTCTGTTTTCAAGTCCGGGTATGCACTTTATACCACTTTATTAGAATTAGGCACTCTGCAAATACCAGGTTGGAGGTTTGGCTTCAGATTGCCTCATTTCTCAATTGGGGTCATAGATTTAACAGGGTACTCTAAACATTCCTCAGAGATTTTGGTCCATATTGACATGATAGTGTCACACAGTTGGTGCAGATTTGTCTGCTGCACATCCAAGATGTGAATCTCCCCCTTCCGTCATATCCCATAGTTGCTCTACTGGATTAAACTGGTAACAGTGGAGGCCATTTGAGTACAGTGAACTCATTATTTGAGTTTTGTGACATGATGGGTTATCCTGCTGAAAGAGCACACTTTTATGAATTGGCATGTTCAGCAACAATAGTGATGTATGCTCTTGCATTTAAGTGATGCTTAGTTCGTAGGAAGGGGCCCCAAGTGTGCCAAGAAAATATTCCACCCTTACACCAGCCTCACCAGCCAGAACTGTTGATACCAGGCAGGATGGATCCATTCGTTCATGTGGTTTACACCATATTCTGACCCTACAGTACAAATCATGACTCCTCGGTCCAGGCAACATTTCTCCAATTTTTCATTGGCCAATTTTAGAGAGCCTGTGTGAACTGTATGCTGAGTTTCCTGTTTGTACCTGACAGGACTGTCACCTGCTGCAGTGGGTGAAGAGATGCTTTTCTGCATACCTTGGTTGTAACGAGTGGTAACTGGAGTTATTGATGCCTACTAGGTCGAAACAGTCTGGCCATTATCCTCTGACCTTACTCATCAGCAAGGCTTTTTCACCCGGAGAGCTGCCACTTTTTCAAACCATGCTATGGAAACCTTAGAGATGTGTGGGGAAATCCAAGTTGATCAGCACTTTTTAAACCACCCACACAAACACCAACTGCATTCAAAGTCACCTTAGTCCTAGTATTAGTCCTAATAAGCAGTTATAACAGTTGTACCTAATGAAATGGCTGGTAAATGTACTTTTTTTATTAGTGCTGTCAATGTAATCTCGTTAAAATGACGTTGAACTCGCTGTTTTAAATGTAATTTCTTTTTTAAAGTGATTTAAGTATTTTTCTTGAAAGAACTGGATCTTTTTGAAGTATTGGAATTTAGTTAGAAGTTATTTGTCTTTGTATCATGTGTCACATTTCACTGACTCAAACACAAATTAACAAATACCGTTTGTTAATTCAGGTAGGATCTTACAGATCAGTGAATTTAAATATAAAAGAAATAACTGGGGTTTTTTTTTAGATTGTACAAAATGTAAATAATGAAGCCTCCTGCCCTTGCCCATGGCAGTACTTCCTTGATTGATACAAGGGCTATTTTCCACGAGTGTTGTCCATGAGTGTTTAAATTAAAGGCAAAGACGCGACATGTCCTTCAGAGAACTGGGGCTGGTCCACCGGGTGCATTAATATGGGCCCTGTGAGCAGTTTTATGGGCTATATTGTGGGAGTGTTCCTGGTAACTGATCTCTAGCAGGAGTGATAGAGTGCAATGACGTGGGCATCCAGAAGAACTCATTTTCTGGGTGGCTGTAAATTCCCACCTAAAAAGAAGGAGAGGCCTTGGTGTAGAAGAGGAGAGGAGATGAAAGGAAGAAGCAGAGGTGGAGGGGAGAACACAAACTCACATGCAGACAGTCCAAAAGTGCTTGTACCCTTACACCTCGCTGAACAACGCTACTTTGTCAAGCAAATTTGCATGCCTTTGTTTTG